AAGGTCAGTTGAACTAGGATAAATATAGATACAGGCTGTCAAGGGTTTGTTTTTGTAATTATATAATTACAGTGGTGGAAAAAAAATTTCCACAAATCTGCATTTTTAAACAAATCTGCATTTTTAAATCCTGGTTTAATCGTGGGTCTGGTAGAAGGCTACGCTGAGCAGCAGGTTGCTTCTGGGTTCAAAATTTCTAAGACAGCAGTACAGAAGAATAAGGTGAAGCAGGAAAGACTGGGAACGACCCGAAACCAGCCAGGTAAAGAGTGAAAGCAGCATTTTAATGCCAGAGGTGTCCATTAACTTATCTCAAAGTTTCTCATGAACCATAGGTGACATCAAGTGACCTTCAAAAGGAATGGGAAGCAATAAGTGCAGGTGTGAAGTGCACTGCTAGGACATTTCGTATCAGGCTCCTAGAAGCAGGACTGAAGTCCCATAAAGCAAGGAAGAAGCCCTTCATTAATGAGATGCAGGGAAGATCCAGGCTGCAGTTTGCAAAAAAATATATATATTATTCACAGACACACACACATAAACAGAAATCAGTTAAACAAAAAACTGAGCCATGGTCTCAATTTTTCTGTGGCTGTATATTACACAGTATACATTATGCCCATTTTTATATGTTGTTTGATTATTACACCTTTTTTGAGAATAAATCGATACATCATTTAGCAGACACTTTTGTAAATAGCGTAAATGTGAATGACTGCTATCATTACTGAATTTTGTGGCTGCAGCAGAAGCTGAATGTTGTGTATTTGTTGTAAATATGTGGCACAGTGGGCTGGATACTGTGCCTATAATCAGAAGGTTGCTGGCTCAAATCCCAGAGATGGCAGAGTGATGTCACTGTTCTGCCCTTGAGCAAGGTCTTTAATCCCCAATTGTTCCAGTGACCGTCTGACCCTGATGTCTCAAAAATGTTTATTGCTTTGGATAAAAGTATCTGCTACATTAAATGAATAAATGTTGCCTGTGTCCCAGCAACAGGAGTCATTAGCCATATTTGTTTTGCTGAGCGTAAGTGCACTCTAAGGCTGACGCTGGAGTAGGCCTGCTCCACATTTGCTCTGTAGGAGTTTTGTATTTTTGCTTTCTCAGTTGTTGCCTGTTTCCTGTCAGAAACGCACCCCCAGCCCCACCACTATGTCCGTGTACACAGTTTCAGTAAGCTAGTGGTTCTGGCTGGTATCCCAGGCAAACTGGCTCAAATCGCTCTGTGCCGGTCATCGGTCATAATAAGGACTTTTTTCCTACCTACTGCTGCATCCAGTCTCACTCTCTTGTGCCTGTAGGAGGTCAGCACCTCTTCAGTGAGATGCCTCCCCCGTGGATGAATTCACACACACCCCCGTTACAGTTGTATTCATGTACCTTGAGAACAATAACGTCAATAGTCAGCTTTTTCTCTTTCATGATTTGTTTCCTTTTGTGGATGTTTGTCAGGTGAAGCTCATCATTTCTTAGGGATATTTCGTCTCAGGGGATCCTGCTCCTGCATTACTGAGCAGGTCACCAGACCCGAGTTCCCTAGATGGCCACGCCTCCCACCGCACTTACACTGACTGTGTGATACATCAGACACATTCGTGTGAGGCTGCATCAGACTGAGGGGGGGGGGACGATCCTGTGCTTCGCCTCCTGCTCACTCTCTGTATCAGAGCTGCAGGCTGTGCTCCAGTAGCAACTTGCCAGTGGTTCAGCTCCCCTGAAGGATCCAACCAAACAGCCCCAAGAAAAATGCAGCCCCCCCACAACAGCTTCCAAATACACTGACTAATTCACTACATTAAACATAAAATCATTCTGATTTAGTTAATACTTCCTAATTGAACTTTACTTCAAAAGATGAGATATTATGACATACAAATGCAAATTATAAGGGGTTTTCCCTACATTAAACCCTGACCCTCTGCTGACTTAACCCAGTAAAACTGGTAGCTTATGATTAATAAAGTGGCTTTATTGTATATATACATACAAAAAAGGAGTGCCTCAGAATATTACAGAAACCAGTTCTTACTAGTTAGCATCAGTCGTGGCCATATCTGCAACAGAAAGTTTATTAAACATCCACAATATCACTTCTAAACATGAATAATGCAAAAGCAAACTGTGGAATTCTATTTTTCTAGGAAGACCTCAAATGAAACACTTATATGTCAACAAAGCTTCTCTTTCTCCCTCACACACACATGCAAAAAGAAACACGGAGTAACCTACGAATGGACAGATACATGCAGCCAGGCACAATGAACAGACAAACAAGCTGAGGGTGTAATTAATAATACTGTCTATGAACACTTAGCAAAACGAAAAGGGTGTGTTTCAGAAAAATGTCAGTGCTACTCTTAGCAGCTTCGGCCCAGACAGTAAATTAAGGCTGGATATTGATCAGAGGATTAAAATTGTTAAGTTAAAAGAATGGCTACAGAACACACTTTCAGACTAATGTAGCAGTATTACCAGTAAGTGCTCAGAATAGCAGGAGGTAGGAAACTGACTTATTGACTAACTCCTTGAAGTTTGCTGCTTCTTGCCTCAGGAGGAGCTCTGCTGGTCTACACCCGAGCAGATACTCCAGTAAACTATTGCGTTGTATAAATGATTTACGTTTGACATGGTTTGGATAAAAACATCAGCTATGTAACTGAAGGGGACGCCTGAATCTCCCAGGTTAAATCCTTCATAGCAGCTGAACCACTGGCAAGGTGCTGCTGGAGCACAGAGAGTGAGTGAAAAGTGAGGCACCAGATCCCGCCATCTGACAACGGCCTCATACAAATGTATTTTATACAGTCAGTGTCAGGTGGGGTCACTTGGTTTGGCCATCTAGGGAACTTGAGTCAGGTGACCAGTGTTTTTGTTGTGGATTGTTCAGTCCTGTTTCCTGACTAAAAGTGTAACTAGATCTGTTCTTTCCTAACCCTGACACTCATCACCATCTTATTTTCTGCGGTCTCGTCCCTCTGTCACACTACTATCTTTCACATCAAAATGGAGCAGCTGTCAAAATCCCTAAACACTTATTGTTTAATGAATGTATGTTACATAGCACTTCTCAAGACACCCAAAGCAATTTCCATCTTCTTTGAAGTACAGCACAGTGTCAGATCAGCTTTCCTAACTAGTCTCCCATCCAGGTACTAGCCAAGTCCAAACCTGCTTAGCTTCAGATGGATTATCTAGTCAAAATTGCAGGACATATGGCTGCTGACTAATGCTTTTATTTTGAAACTGTAGTATGAAAAAGTATCTTCTGTCAGTATTAAGGCATGATTAGGATCAGCCATCTGAATACTTTGTAAATGATCAGGCCTAACCCAGTATAAATGTGACTGACTCTGGTTATCGACATCAGAGGGAGCTCACAAATTCTAGTGGCACATCATGCCATGATTAAAAGGAATTACTAAAGAATTTATCTTAAAAACAGTCTAGAAATGGTTAAATGTCAATTCTAAGACTGCAGGGCATCACAGCCTGCAATCAGAACCATACTAAGCAAATGGGTCAGTTTTAGAAAATAGAAAATCTTCCCATAAGAGGTTAGGCTACCAAAATGTCCTCAAGAACAAGGTGTCAGATGTAGCAAAGAGACCTTTAACAGTATACAGACATCTGCTGGTCTCTCTCTCTCGACAAAGTTAGACAAATGGGCAATATAACTAGTGGCTATAATGTGGAAAGTATTGCTTACTTAAATCCTCATCCCAAGTTTGTCAAAAACCACAAGAGATCTACTGTATACAGTGGGGAAAAACACTTTTGCTTGAAACGGATCAAGTTTATACAAAACACTTCATTCCACAGTAAAAAAAAATGTTCATGCATGACAGTAGCGGGTCGTTATTTATGGGCGAAATCATGCCTGAAGTCAACGAGACAGAATATTAGTTCTGCTTTAGTATGGTTGAAGAACTGACAAACAAAAAAAAAGGTTTTAGTCCTGGCCAAAGTCGAAATCTATCCCTATTAAAATGCTGTGGCCAGGACCTGAAACACACATTTCACATTCATATGAACCCATGAATGAGTAGGCGGTGCTGAGGGAGGCGAGTTTGGATGCAGTCATTGCTACAGACAGTGACGTGATGGCCGTGTTGTGAGATGGGCTGGGGTAGCGATCTGTCCCTGGGCTGCTGGGAAGCCTCCGGGACGCCCAGAGGAGACACAGCTGCTGTGATGCAGTAATCACATGGCAGCCAGTGGAGCATCCACTCAAGTCATAGCCGCTAATCTATGGCTCTGTTTAGAAGCTGGGAATTTTCAGCAAGGGGCTGCCCACAATGAGAGTAACCTCACTTAGACGAGTAAAATTACACTGAACGCTGAACTACCCTGAGGTTACCCTGCCTGGCGTTTGTCTGTCTGTATACAGCCATTAAAAGGCATTCAAGTAACGTTTTGCCCCGTGGATTTTTTTACGCTCCTCCACTAAACCTGTTACTCCAGTTATTGCATCAATAACTTCTTTTTCATGCCAGGAAACATCATTGTTAAATAAAGAATATCAACATTTTACTATTAGTTCACTTAGATTCCCTTTTATGTAATACTCAGTTTTTGGTTGATGACCTTTCAGTGTCAAAACACGCAAAAATGCTGAAAATAATTTTTACAGCAGCATATATTACTCTTGGTCAGTAAGGGTCAAATTTTATGGAACACAAGTGTGATGGGGTGGAGCCTGCCAGATGGGGGGGGGGAGCCTTTATATCACTGTCCTCCATTCTCTCTGCCTGCTATTCTCTCTCTCCCATTGTACATTCATTCTGTTTTGTCATTTTTTTCTCTCCATTCTTCTGTTTCATGAGAAGCAGCTGCCTAGAGCAATATGAGGCAGTGGAAGTTGTCAGTACAGCTCTAACTCTGTCACCCTCGCCTCAGTGTAAACACAGTCACGGCATTAGTGAGACTCTCACCCTGAACTCACATCGCAGCACACGCAGGCATGACTTTATGCTGAAGGCACATGGAACAAGCTGTTAAACTGTTAAATGCATCATGGTTAGTTTTATTTTTGCTAAGTGGGTAAAAACACTTCTGCTCAGAGATGCAATGATGTAAGAAGAAACACCACAATCGATAATCCAATAGACTGTGGTGTTCTTTTGAATGTTTTTTTTTTTGGAATGTAAAACGAAAGCTCACTGGACTAAGGCTGACCTTACAGGTCTCAACCATAAAATGAAATTTTGACAAGATACATAAAAATCTTATACATAAAATGCACCTGAAAACTGCCATTTGGGAACAGAATGATAAGGCAGCTGCTGAACATATAATGTTAGGGAACAATAAATGTTGTAATTTTGTTGAAATGGAAGTTACCAATAATGTCTGACTGCACAGATACATAGATAGTTAAAACATTTTTCCTCAGTGAGTTAATTACTGGTCAACAGTGCTTACTAATGTACAGCGTGTTGGTACCCAAAACTCAACATCAAACAACCATGAGGATGCTGAATCTTCTTCAGTATGGACATGGGGTATCCTCTATCGCACCTGGGCCTGTCAGAGTCCCTCATCATCCTGAAAGTGAGAAAAGTGCCACATTCAGACTGGAGTGCTGATACTAGAGAGCTGCCAGTGTTCAGCTGTAGGATCACATCATTTCCGCCGACACAAACATAATGAGACCTCATTATCAGTGTCTGCATTATTGTAAACTCAGTAGTCAAATATTTGCTTTTAAATGGCTTAAGCTGGAAACTCAATACGTAGTAAAGTTGTAACAGATAAGTCCCACGGTGGCTGAAGCCTGAACTGTGCATAAAGTAAACTATGCCAGTTGCTGCAATGGGGTTATGGTTATGTTGAAGTTAAGTTGCAAAACCAACCTCCTTGCTGCTGCGACAGTCTCCGCAGAGGCACCCCATGCAGCCATTAATCACCTGCATGCCACAGAGGATTAGCTGCAACAGGCCCAAACACAGCATGATGGAGAAGAGGACAATGTGCCACAGCACCATGTTTTGTGGTTCCACACACTGCGTCCACAGCTCCTTGTTCGTCAGATAACTCTCACTGATGGGGGAGGGGGCAAGACAGGACACAGGAAGAAGAGATAGCAGGGCAATGGTGGAAGAATGGGTGGGGCACAATGCGGGGGGAGTGTCAAGTGAGAGAAAAGAAAAGGGGAAAGAGCAGCTGATTAGTATCAGGAAGGAGCAACTGAAGTCAGACCACTAATGTTGTGCAATCGCATTGCATCACTGCCAGCATCTCCTATGGCAAACGATGGCAGAGCAGACCAGAGATGCATGAGTCAGCAGTTTAACCCTCCTACACTTGTGGGCAAAAAATTGATGACATAAGTCTGCCACCTGCAGCCGAAGTGAAGGAACTGCACATGGAACATTCTGAGTGAGTAACTTCAATTGGCAAATACAATAATTCCCACAAGCAGCTGCTTTACAGCTAGAGTAAGAAAGCGGTCATTCATGTTTACTTTTTGGGAAGGTTCTCAAAGGGGTACTCCCACTTGTTGTTCTCCAGCTTACACTTTGGTCCAATGGCCAGGCCGGCTGAGGAGACACTGGTACAGTATACGGCTCCTGCCAAGCCAAAGGCCGAGCAGAACACAGAGTTCAGCATCTATGGGTGAGAACACACACATGCTAGGGCTGCTGTCATAGGATAACCACACCAAGGATTACATCTGTCACAGAGATATCACTCCGGCCCATAGGGGGATGTATTTATCACAGCAGTTTCCTTCCCGAACCTCTTCTGATATAATCCTGATTATATAATGATTACAATTTTCATAGTTTAAATCAGTTTAAAACTGTCTCATATGCATTTCATCACAGTTCAGTGCAATAATAAAATATTGGGTCCCCTTACACTGTTATAGTATAGACTGTCTGTGTAAACACAAACTTTTTGTAAACAGTGAGCTTTTATCAGCTTTGTTATAAATCACATGCTGTATTAAATCAAGAGTCAACAAGACATTCCACCAAATAAACAAATGTATTATATGTGAACGTGAGAGTAAAACAGAAATAATACAAGCCAGTAACATGGTATTAACTTATTCTAGTAATATTCACAATACCCCTCTTTAATCTGTACACTCAGATTTGATAATGTTGCTGTCGCTTCCCTGTGTTTGCTGCATTAATAGACCTAAAAGCTTAAACAAGCAGGGGGGGGAGGGTGAAGACCGGACACTTTTTAAGTCAGTTTTATCAAAGCTGGTAATGCAGACCGTAGACTCACCCTACACCGGTTTTGACAGCAGCCTTTACCACAGCAACCTTTTCCCCCAGCTCTGATAGCTGAGCAGCTGGGACACAGCATCTGAGCAATAAACAAGACAAACAAACATTCCATAAGCCTAGCAGACCAGAAGCTTACACTGGAGATCCTCCTAAAACAACAGAATATGGTTTATTCAAGCATGAATTTGCATCATAATGCACTGAAAGGGGGTAGGTTGAATGGGGTGTATGAGTGCCCTATGGGAAAATCTCTTATCTTGTGCTATACCTTAATGGATTTAATGGATGTATTTTGTAAGGTTTTTGCATGGCAATCCACCAGGGATCCACTGCACACAGACCACCACCAACCATAACCATGCAGCTAGTCAGTCGTCATGGTTTCCTCACGGTTGGCCCTGAAGCCACCTGTGAGGAATGTTGAGTGGTTGATAATAGGATTTGTCCACCCCAGCCCAGCTTAAACCCCACACTGGGGAGAAAGTAAAAGGTATGTATGTTTCTCATGATTTCTCAGCCTTTCTCAATAATAGAAAACATGGAGGACTGGGTGGGGCAGGAGGGAGATTGCCTCTAATCAGGCTCCCCTGTGCTGCAGGACCCGTGCCCTGCCTGGGGTGTAAGTGTCCTTTCCTTATAATTGCTGACCATAGCCATATCAGTTCCATGGCTCTTGTACATTTCCCCACATTCCCCAAATAACCCTCCAGGGGTATTTGCTTATTCACTCATCACCCATTTTATGAAAGACTTGGAAATGTGTTTTCAGTCATTAAAAGACTGACATATCCTCATTGTGTCAGGTGAGGTAAGATGCCATGCGTGCCGATGCGAGCTTTGATACAGTCTCTGTCTACACGGACACACAAGTACACACACAGATCCAGCTGTTTGTACAAGGATTCTCCGATTAGATAAAGGGTGTGATAAAACTGTACTTTGAACCCTGGAATGAATTTTCTACTCATACACTTTGCCCATATTCATAAGGAACCAAACAAGGAAAATACACTTGATGCAGGACTTGAATTATAATGGATGTTTGTGCATGCCAACCCCGGTGGGAAGAAATGACAAAACATGCCCCCTTTGAAAATATACCATCCCCCCATCCATCCTTTCATGTCCTCAGAGCATCAAACTGGAATGGTGCAAGGCAGGAAATATTATTCTGCGTAACATCACTCACATAAAGGTATATCAGGGCTATGGACTCCAGTCCCACACACAATTTAACCCAGACCATGCAATTGACCTCCCACCTGCTTGGCAAATTATGTCATTGAGGACCTTTTATAAAGATTTGGCCACAACCATCTCCCTTGAAATATTTCAATAAACCCTTAAGAGGGAACCAGAAATTTTGGAAGTGTACAGAGCAGTTGGAAATACAGTATGCGGATTCATTCATTAAAAAGCTTTTCTGGTGAACATAAAGTCATTGTCAAAGTCACCAATACACCAATCCAACAGGTGGCATCCATTTCATTAAGGGAGTCGGGTTCACTACTATGATGTCAGTCCTTATGCTGTTCATCATCCTTGAATATGAGTTGAGGTGCAAAACATACTGTATGTAGAAATGTAGGTCTACATGATTGTGTTTATTGCAGCACAGTAAGGACAATTGATAGGTGTTTAAGCAGTAACAGGCATTAGGTTAGACCCATCACTGGTCCACAGCTACTTCTGAAGTTCTGTTTGCTGCCTGGCAAAAGCCTCAACATGCAATACGCCCTGTTAAGTATGAAGCTATTTCATCAGAGCCTAATAAGCAGACATATCAGCATTGCTACAGTTTTGGAATTGAATATATATCCCATGGTTACTAACATAATCCATGTTCATGTTTTGGTTGTTAAGGTGATCTGCTTTTGTAATATAAGCCCAATGAAAGTAGTGGAATGTGATATAGCTTTATTACCAGTGAACCAGTATTGTAAGCAATGCATGCACCACACACCAGTTTGTTGTGTTCTACAAGGGCACAAACCACTTCTGACAATTAAACCGACATCTGAGAACGGGGGGCCGGCCCCACCCGGAGTTCTTGAAGCCAGAAGCTGTCGCAACAGTGAACAAAGTACCTTCCGTATATATTTGAGCTGTCAAAGATCAAGGAGGAAGTTCAATGTAAATTAAACGTTTGTGCTCCTGAACTTAACATACAGAAAAGATGTGAATAATACATAGGCTTCTCTGCTGTTTGTTATAAAAGAAGGTCTCGTCTTTCACTACCATAGTTACCTATTTCAAGTTTAGTGATAATATATCCCAACCCACAGCATGGGTAGGGAGTCAGAGGATTTTTCTAACAAAAAAACATGTCTGTCATATATTTGGCCCATAGCTGATCAACTAGCTTTCAAGTCCTGCAAGCCAGAACCTGTCCAGTCCCCCTTCAGTCATCATTCTCTTACACCGTGCCAGGAAGCCAAACAACAATGGCAAACTATGCAATTTGTGTGTCATACTCTTTGGGAAATGTACTTTAAATTTAAATGAAATGTACTTTTAAATTAAATTTACATTAATTAAAATTCAGTTGGTTCAGTCTGTTTTAACGTTTCACCAGCCCCTCCTGACCCAGCTCCCGAACCCCAGTACCGCTCACTGAAGTAGCACTGGTGTCAGTACTCACAAAGAGTCCTCCTCCAATCAAGCCGCCCATGAGCCACACTTGTAGAGAGATGTTGCTGTTTTCCAGACTGTCCCCATTGGGGAAGAAGAGAAGCAGGTTAGCGATCATGCAGGCAAATGCCGAAGGCAGCAATATGAGGCCCACCAGCCGGGCACACTTCCCTGTGCAGCACATTATCCTCTCGCTCAAGCCTCCGCACAGTCAAACAGTAAGGAAACCCAGTAAACCTCCTCGGTAGCTACAGCCCACACAAAAAGACTCGTGGATGCCCTTTGATAGCTGTGCTTTGGCTTTGCTGATAACGCTGTTCATGGTTTGCTGGTTTCTTTTTGGGTTGGGGGCGGGGAGTTACGGGCAAACAGAGTCATCTGTGCTACAGCATCGATCGGTAATGGGTAAACATGGCAATGGTGACGTACAGCGTCAAGATAACATAGAAATGAGACAGCCGTCCCAGAGCCCCTGCCAAGTCTCATGCCCCTTTGCAGTCTACTCTGTCATTCTGCAAAGAATCACACCCTTTATGAGTCTGTTCCACAATTTCAGTGGGCAAAAATCAATATTTATGGCTTTATGACTGCTATTGCCATAAAGTGTACAGCTGTCGATTAGTCACATGTTCGGGATGAGAAATCAGAGGGCCTTGTTGATGATATATTTCTATTTCTTAGCATTGTTTGTTTGGTGTGGCAGTGTAGCTTCATATGAAACTGCATATGAAGTTCAACCTGTAAGTCACAATTCCTTTTGTGCAGTCACCCCAAAACAATGGAGGATCAATTAAATTCAATGCTATAAAGTATACAAGACTAAAGAAACACAAAATGAGATGGCCAGCGACACTAGCTGGCCAAACAGAGAAAAAGAGGTGGGAGGGACGGATCCTAACAAACCCAACTTACTATCGTGGTCCTTGCAGTGTGAGAATTGCATGTGCACATCTTGCAGTGTTGACATTAATATCACACATCCCTACTTAGCTAATTTTGTATTGTAACACTGCACTGTCCTTTTGTCTGTACATATGACATGGCTTTCCTGGGCCAGATTGAATTGGGCAGAATAAATTTTAACTGCCATTACATTTTAAAGACGCTGCACACAATAGTATTCAGAATTTTTCTTCTCTTGCCTGATAATATTCAATTTTGAATATCTTCAGGGCACTCATCCTCAGACAGACAGACAAACAGACAGAGACAGACAGACAGATCCCACCTTTAATTCTAACTGTACAATATTGGACTGCATAGTCCTGTGAACAAAGATGACCATACTGCTCCCAAGATGTTTGGTGGTACTGCTTTTCACATACATCAAACTTTTTAAACACCTTTTTAAAGTCCTCTCTCAGGTTTCACCTCACTGTGTCGTGCTCTCTCATTGGTTGGAGCTCATTGTCAGCCGCAACACTTACAGGATTTGGATGTAGATATTTACATGCCAAATATCTGGCAGGCATTTGCGATGCATCAGCAGCTCCATCGGGTTGCGTCTTTCAACAGCTCCCACATAGCGATCGAGCGCTGACTGGCTAATGCCAATCAAACACCACTCTGCCTCCGATCTGGGGGTTTTGTCAGTGTTCTCCAAAAACTGTCAGCCAGCAGAAAATTGTGGCTGAAATTTTGGAACACTGGGTCTCAGCCAATTGACAAATTCCTTTAACAGCTGCCGCTAGAAGGATTTGAAGATTTACTTCATTTCTAATTTCCTCAGGAACAGCTCCCAAGTAAGTGGGTCTTGGGATATGGATTCCAAAGAAGATTCAGAGCTTTATAAACCTCATCCCAATATTTCATCAACTTGTTACTAGAGTTGTCCGGATAGCAAAATTATGACCTAGATACTGACACCACTTTAATATCACAATACCAGTACTGCTATTGTGCAACAATAGCAATGCAGCTTCAATGAGCTCAATTAGCTTGCTTGGGTGCAGAATTGCTTGTGAGCAGATGCCTTAAGGGGAGTCTCAAACATTTTCAGGAGACATTCATCTCAAATACATTTAAATTGTTACTCTTCATTTTAATAAATTACGCGTCACTCTACTCTAGCACATACCCTAATATTGCTAAGCATCGTATTATGATCAGTCTGATTCATTTAGTTATAAAGAGAACGATAATACTTATTAAATTCAAAAATGGTATATCCACCCCCGACTGCGGTGCACTTCTGCCTTATTAAAAATGCACACGAGAGGGGCAGAGAGGAAGCGATTCGATATTTGAATTTTGAGGACACTGCTCTGACGAATTGGGGGGGGCATTATGTAAAATGCATTTCTGCTGCGATCAAACATCACCAGCAGTTTCTTCTGCTTTCTTCCATTGATTTGCTCACTCGATAAACAAAAAAAAAACTTCCCATGCAGCACATCATGCTTGATTATTTAACTGCTTAAACGCGTGCAAAAGTAACAGCAGGTTGTTATGCCATGTCTCAGTCTAGGGTCAGGCGCAACACAAAGTGGAGTGAGACCACTATACTTTGTTTGTGCTAGTGATTTTATTAGCGGAGAGAACAACTTCAGGAGCTGACGAGGCAAAAATTACAAAACTTCTAGGAAAAACCCAAATTAAAAAAGTACACAAAACTCTCCCTGACTAGCCCCAGAACAATTAGAAAACAAACAATCAAAAACAAAATGGCATGGCACTCCCTACTTCCCCAGCTATTCACAATGGACACACTATTAACAGATATTTAGTAACCAAGTCCAAGGCCGTGCACCGACATTCCCCATCCAACCTGATGGTGCTTGAGAGGTTCTGCAAAGAGGAATAGGAGAAGCTGCCCAAAAATAGGTGGCCAAGCTTGTAGCATCATATTCAAAAAGACTTGAGGCTGTAATCGCTGCCAAAGGTACATCAACAAAGTACTGAGCAAAGGCTGTGAAAACTTACGTACATGTTATATTTTTGTTTTTTATTTTTAATAAATTTGCAAAAATTTCAAGCAAACTTTTTTCAGTTTATCGTTATGGGGTATTGTGTGTAGAATTTTGAGGTAAAAAATGAATGTAATTCATTTTTGGAATAAGGCTGTAACATATCGTGGAAAAAGTGAAGCGCTCTGAGTACTTTTCGGATGCACTGTACAAGGGAGCAAGCAATTCCTGATATGATATAATATCTGGAAACAACTTTCAACTGATTTGCCAAGTTGAAGACACAAAAAGTACTGTTCTTTTCCAGATGTCGAGTGGATTTTAGACAATCCATTAATAAGCATGAAGAAACTAAGTTGTAAATTTACAGATTTCTGCAGGTGTAATCCACACTGTAACTAACTGATGTAAATTTACAGGAATATTTTTACATTAACCCACCATTATTTCAATACACTGCATGTTACTGTTAAATAACAGCATTACTGTGATTTGGAATACCACCCATCCATCCATCCATCATCTGCCGCTTGTCCGGGGTTCGGGTCACGGGGGCAGCAGCTTCAG